AGGGGATCAAAGGGACTCAGCTGAGACTGTGAAAGGAGAGGCTTTCCCCGTGAGGCAGGGGGCCCCCTCATACTCTAGAACTCTGGGAGCGTCTCAGCAGGGAGGCACAGCTGGCGGCCAGAGCTGGGATAAGAGGGCAGTGTTGCTCACAGAGCCGCGTCCGGCTGGCTGCTTCTCCGGCTGTGTGCTCCAGCAGAGCCCCAGAGGGGGGCCGCGTGGGGCCCAGGCTCCAGGTCCCTGGGGGCCATGGTCTCCAACACCTTCCACTCAGAGCCTGTTCCCTTCAGTGGGCCATCAGGAACCCTGTAACTAATAACAAGTGGAGCTTCAGGGATTGGAACTAACAAGTGGCAGAGGAATGGGCAGCCTTGGAGAGGAGAGTTCATGCTGTAATGGACTTGCTTTATAGAGAGGGAGAGAAAGACAATTATTAGGCACCTCCTAACGCCAGGAGATCTGCTGGAGGCTTTCATGTGTATTATCTCATGAAATCCTCTCAAAATTTTATTAGCCCCATCTTGAAGGAGAAGCAGAGAGGGCAAGGGCCTTGTCCACGGTCACACAGCTAGAAACATGCTGCTGTTAGTTGCTGTCGAGTCAGCCCGGACTCATACAGAGCTTGGAACCCTTGGAATCCATGTCCACATTTCCCAGAGCAAGCTGTCTTTGGAGTAGATGTGAAACATTTTTGTGTGTTTGTTAAATAAACATTTCATTGAAGGATAACATACATATAGAAAAGTGCACAAAACAAAAGAGTAGCACTCCATGAGTTCTCACAAATTGAATGCACCCGTGTAACCAGCACCCAGATCAAGGAACAGAGCGTGACCACCCCTAGAAGCCCCCCTCGAGCCCTTCCAGTCACTACCCACCCCCACAGGTAACCATTATTCTGACTTCTAGCAGCATAGATTAGCTTTGCGTATATTCAAACTTTATATATACAGTCTGGAATCATACAGTCTGAACTCTTTTGTGACTGGCTTCTTTAGCCCTTACAATTATAAGATTCATGTGTGTTGGTGTGTGTAGTCCTAATTATTCATTACCTTTGCCGGGTGGTGTGTTGTATGAAGATACTCGGTTGACCTATTCATTTGATTATGGATAGATGTTTCTGGTTTGGGACTGTTACAGATAGAAACATCATAAATATTGTGGTATATACCTTTTGGTGAACATATGCCCGCATTCCTGCTGAGTATATACCTAGGAATTAAATTGTTAGGTCACTGTTTGTAGTCCATGCTGCCAAACCATTTTCCAAAGTAGTTGTATCAATTTATATTCCCACCAGCAGTGTATGGAAGTTCTAAGACAGGGGCATTTAAAAATTGCATTATTTATTTTAATACTGAAAAGGACAAAGAGAACAACAACAACAACAAATCCCACTGCCCATACAACCTTCGTTAACACTTTAAGTTTTTAAAATTGAGCTTAGTTTACATAATAAAATGCCCACATCTCCATGGCTCATGTGATGAGTGTTGACAGTTGTATTCACCTGAGTAAGTAACCACTACCCCGACACAAGACAGAGCACATTTCCGTCACCCCAGAAAATTCCCTCATGTCCCTTTCCAGTCAGTCCTTCACCCCAACAGGTAAGCTGTTAACATTAAAGAAAAATGAATGTTGTACGTGCATATGTAAGTTCTAAAAGTATAGAAAGGTATAAAATAAAAGTGGGTCTCCCCCTCCCCCAAGTCCATTTTCCCAAATGCTGTTACCGTTAGCAATTTTATGTGGACTTTCAGAAAGTTTTTATGACTGTACCTGTGTATTTCCTTTTTAAACACCACAAAGTTTTTATTATCCACAGTTTTGTTCCTTTCTGTTTTACCTTTTAATTATGTACCATGGTGCTCTTTCTGTAGTAGCTTATACAGGTCTATATCATTCCGTTTTACAGTCTCACAGTATTCAGTTCCAAGAAGGGTCAAACTAGATCATTCAATAAAACACTCCCATTTTCCAAAGTTCCTGAGTGAGAGGAACTGAGTTCCTGAGAGGAAAGGAAAGAAGGGGAAAAGCATTTGTTGAGCACATACGGGGGGCAGTGTGAGGTGCTGGCTACCTTATCCACTCCTGTGGACCTGTGTCACCGTCGCCGTTTGATAGATGGAGAATCTGGAGCCCAGGGTGGGAAGTGGGAGGTAGAATGATCTGTTCAAGGCCACACAGCCAGAAAATGGAGGAGCTGGGATTTGAAGCTCGCCTATCTGACCCCAGACCTCTCCCCTGCACCCTCCTGGCCCCCCGGGTGTCTCCAGCCCTCGGCAGAGGGGCAGCCTTGGGTTTGGGGCATTTAGGACCCTCCACTCCCCCAGGACCTTCTGTGTGAAGGTCTTCCCTGGCCCAGGAGTAGCTCATGTAGCCGGCTCTCAGAATGGTCCAGAAAGAAGTGGCATTTGTGGGTTTTCTTTCAGGCAAGGGAGAGGGAACCAGCACTTCAGTATGTCATCCAGTGTACGCTTTGATGAGAGCTGATGAGTCACTGAACCATAAAAGGAGGTTTTTTCACGTAAACGGTTTGTGGGCGAACTCGTTTTCTACCCTTTAAGGCAGAATTTTTTTTTCTTTCTCTCTCTTAATAAAGAAGAGTTTTTTAAAAAAATAAATGGGAGATAATATCTTGACTAGAAAGATCCTTTGTTATACAGCCGTCTGCAGTCAGCCCCTTTCACAGCTGAGCTGGGTGGTGGGCAGCGGAGTCCCCTGGGATGGGGGCTGCTGATGGGCTCCAGGTAGGGCGAGCTGGGTGGTCAGGTGTAGGCGGGAAAGTGGGGTGCGGTACTTCTGTTTGCCTCTGAGGCTCCTCCTCATCCATTGGCTTGGAGACGATGCCAGACAGAGACATTGAAAAGAGCAGCGCCTCTCTCCACAGAGAGATTAGGCCCTTAGCTCACCCCAGGGTGATCTGAAAATACCAGATGGGGCAGCCAGCTCAACTCTCAGGATGGAAAGTTGTTTGGGAGAGAGGCTAATTGACCGGGAGAAGATTCCAGAGCGGCCAGAGGCCCTGTGGCCATCTCTGGTGTTCTGCTCCTAGGAGACCCCTGTGCACTCTTAAGAACCTGTAGACAGTTTCAAAACCCCCCTGAAATGAACAGACAGCCTTTTGAGAGACATGAAGCTGACCGTATTGGAACCTGGTGACTCATGGGCAGTTTGTCTAGCCGGAATGTTGAGTGGTGTTGGGAAAACAGAAGTGGCCAGGTAGATGCTTGGACAAGATCCTTCGAAAAAGCGGACCAAATCTGACTTCTGGGCTGAAGTGGGTGTCCAGGGGCTTGAGGACTCTAAAAGCACACCAGACAGGTCAGGGATCAACTCAACTTTGGCCAAACATGGCGGATTCAAGCACACTGTCTGTGTGTGTTGACTCTTGAGGCCTTTGTCAAAGTCTGCATTGAATTTCCCATCTAAGATGGCCACTATCTTGTCCTAGGCTTCCTGGCCTCTATGGACCTAGGAATTTGGAAGCAATAGCCCAGTGGTTCTCAAAGTGTGGTCCCCAGACCAGCAGTACCTGCATTCCCTGGGAACTTGTTAGAGCTGCAAATCTTCAGGCCCCACCCTGAGACTGCAGCAATCTGTTTTAACACACCCTCCAAGTGATTCTGATGCTCACCAAAGTGTGAGAACCACTGCATAGCTTGAAGAAAGGGGAAAGAGGAACTAATATTTACTGAGTGCCTAAACAGAAAAAATATTGAAATTGTCAAGAATTTCATTTTGCTTGGATCCACAATTAATGCCCATGGAAGCAGCAGTCCAGAAATCAATGACATATTGCATTGGGCAAATCTCCTGCAAAAGACCTTTTTAAAGTGTTCAGAAGCAAAGATGTCACTTTAAGGACCAAGGTGTGCCTGACCCAAGCCATGATGTTTTCAGTTGCCTCATATGCATGTGAAAGCTGGACAATGAATAAGGAAGATCAAAGAAGAATTGATGCCTCTGAATTATGGTGTTGGCGAACAATATTGAATATACCATGGACTGCCAAAAGAATGAACAAATCTGTCTTGGAAGAAGTACAGCCAGAATGCTTCTTAGAAGTGAGAGTGGTAACACTTTGTCTCACATGCTTTCGACATGTTATCAGGAGGGACCAGTCCCTGGAGAAGGGCATCATGCTTGGTAATGTGGAGGGTCAGCAAAAAAGAAGGCCTTCAACGAGATGGATTGACACAGTGGCTGCAACAGTGAGCTCAAGCATAACAAGGATTATGAGGATGGCACAGGACTGGGCAGTGTTCCATTCTGTTATGCATAGGGTCACAATGAGTCGAAACTGACTTGACGGTACCTAACAACAACAACTGTTTTCCATCCACCTTATCAGTGTTATTTTATTTGGGCCTCCAGTGTTTCTGGGTGGTGGATATTAATATCCCCATTTTGCAGATGAGAAACTGACTCTCAGAAAGACTAAATAACTTTCCCATGAACCCAAGCCGGAATTCTAACCCAGGTCTGAAGCCTCCTTCTGTGTCTGTTGAGTCCTGGTGCTGGGTCCCTCACAGCTTGAGATCAAGAACAAATAACTGAGTGTATCCGTACCTTCCACTACCCGTCTGTCAGTTTGTGGTACTGTGGTGGATTGCATGTTATTGTGATGCTGGAAGCTATGCCACTGGTATTTCAAATACCAGCAGGATCACCCATGGTGGACAGGTTTCAGCGAAGCTTCCAGCCTAACACAGACTAGTAAGAAGGACCTGGTGATGTACTTCTGAAAGTTAGCCAGTGAAAACCTTTGGATCACAACAGAACATTGTCCAACTCACTTGCTTTAGACACATCATTAGGAGGGATTAGTCGCTGGAGGGAGGACATCACGTTTGATGAAGTAGAGGGCCAGCAAGGGTGAGGGAGACCCTTGGTGAGATGGATTGGCACAGTGGCTACAATGATAGACTTGAATATGCTGGTGATCGTGAGGATGATGCAGGACTGGCAACATTTTATACTGTTGTACACAGGTCACCGTGAGTTAGAATAGACTCTACAGCAGCTGTCTCTCTATCCATCCACCTACCCACCCATCCGTCATCCATCCATCCATCCACCCATCCATCGGTAGCTTAAGATTGCCCTGCCAGGGTCCCTTCATCTGTGCTGGGAACTCAGGACTCACCACAGATGAAGACCATAGAAGTCACACTCCTTGGATCCTTCCTGGACCTCCCCTTGGACAATGCAGTCTCAGCAAACCTGTCTAAGGAGGACCCTATCCCAAGGAAGGACGAGCTTCAGCCTCTTTCTAAAATCTGCCTCTCCCCTTGTATCCCCCAGCTGGGAAGGCAGGAGTGTGCCTTGCCCTGTATTCAGGAGCACCATCACTACCTGCCTGGAAATGTGCAGTAGAGACCAACTGCAAATTAATTTATTAGGGACCTGGCTTTTGTTCCAGGGTCCTCCTAAAGTAAGGCTTTCTGTAGAAGGAGCCCGTGGCTCAAGCCCAGAGGAGGCAGTCTGACAGGGGATGGAGGTTCCCAAACACAGAGATGAACAGATCGGATGCCCTTTGAAGTACTGCACACACTAGATAAAGTTCTTAGTTAAATAAACAACGTGGACCCTGCTGAGATACTACCAACTCGAGGTTGAGCATGGAAACCCTTATTTGGTGTAGGGATAGAGAGCATTGCCTTTATCAGCCTCGAAGGAAACAGAAGCCCGTTCTGTCCCCGGCGTTCAGGGCAGGGGGACTCGCTTGGGGCCCAGCCCCTTCCACATGGCAGAGGAAGAGCATCTTCGGGTACAGTATTTGCATTTTTAAATTTATTTGGTGGGTTGTTATAAATCAGGAATGTTTTCTCAGAAAATGCCGTCTTGTATTAATGATGGTTTATCTAAGAGGTCCCTACTGCAGTCTTGATTATCGGGTTCAAGTTCTGCTCAGGGCTCCCAGCATCATGTTGTCACTGGAAAAGCCAGTCCCTCCTTAAACAGAATGTTCTCTTTTGAAAAGCAGGGTCTCATCCATGCCTTGAATGGAGAACTGTGTCGTGTTTAAAGTTAACAGTCTTTGGACATTTGAAAGCTGAGGAGAATGGGTGGGCTGCGTTCTTGGAGACTTGGAGGGAGGCAGGCAGTGCCTGGCTGGGGAAGACTCCTCTAGAATCCAGTGGCCTGATCATGGTGGGTGGGCTGCCTGGCCAGGTGGGGAGCACCCTGTTCCTGGAGGTATAGGAGCTGTAGCCAAGGCCACTATCACAATGGCTGGATAGAATTTGGACGCTGGGCTGAGGTCAGGCAGGAGGGCTTCTATTTGCTTCGTTTTAAGTTTTAAGGCTTATGCCCTGCCTTTGCCCAGTGATATTGAGGTGGCTTACAAAAACATTCAGAGTGGGAAAATCTACACTAATTGCTTTGGAATGAGTTCAACGAGGTGTTGTTAAGAGAGAAAAGCAATATGCAAAGACCTGTGTTTAAGGTGGTTCCATTTCTGTAAAATGAAATGGGGAACAAAGCAACAACAGAAACAAGGACCACAAAAACCTCTCCGTTTATTTGTAATTGATTATATATGATGGTGGAGAAAGACATGAAATGATATATATCAGGGATCAGCAAACTATCTGGCCTGTTTTTGCAAAGAAAGGATTTTTTTGGAACAGAGCCACGCCCATTTGTGCTACAACAGCAGAGTGACTGTGACAAAGACTATATGGCCTGCAAAGCCTGAAATATTTACTGTCTGGCCCTTTACAGAGTTTTCTAACCCCTGATTTATACCGTGGGGTTAGTGTGGATTCTGAGGGTGGGAATAGGGCAGAGGTGAGTCTTAAAAAAAAAAAAACAGAAGATACACAAAATTAAAAGAAAAAAACCCACCTAACATATGATACGACCTAGATTTAGATACAGTTAAATACACTGGGCTGTGCGTGTGCATGTGTGTGCGTGCGTGTGCACGCGTGCAAACATGCATTCAGAAAGAGGATCCATGCAATGATAGTCACCAAAATAAAACTGTGTAGGATGTTAGCCCCACACAATCAGGTTCTTGTGCTTTTTACTCTCTTCCCTAATGCTATTCTGAATGGTTCTATTATTATTATAACATATACTGGTTATGTGATAGTACGTTATTTCAAAAATTAGACAGTCTACTGGAACACTGAAAGTCAGAAATAATGTAGTCTAAGATACTTCCCCTGGTGGCATAGTAGTTAAGAGCTACATCTGCTGACCAAAAGGTCAGCAGTTCAGATCCACCAGGTGCTCCTTGGAAACCCTGTGGGGCAGTTCTACTCTGTCCTATAAGGTCACTATGCATCGGAATTGACTTGATGGCAACGGGTAGCTCGGGTAGCTAAGATACCTCCCATATCTCTTAAGAATATGGGATTTTGACCAATTGAAGAATTCTACAGTCCCATCTCCATGGTCCCAATTTCTGAAATCCTGGGAGATTTTTTTCCCCATTTTTTCTTTCTTTATTTTTTAAATGAAATGGACAGTGCATGGATATAGCTTCCTGCAAAAATGTGAAACATTGCAGACAAAGCTGAGCGCGTCTCCTTCGTCCTATCCTATGCCATTTTCCTCTTCAAAGAAGACAGCTGTTATCAGCTTGACATGTGTCCTTCCTGGACTCACCCCCTCCTCTGCTACTCCCTACCCCACCACCCCATGTATTATACCGATATATGTGTGCATATGAAAATTGTGTGTGTGTGTGTGTTTGCTTCTCCATTTAACAGTGTCTCATGGAGGTGGAATCAAGGTCAGATCTTTTAGCTCTGCTGCTTCGTTCTTTTTAACTGCTGTCTAGTTCCACTGGATGGGTGGACCACAGTTTACTTAAGCAGTTCTCTGTTGATGGACATTTAGAGGGCGTTATGGATAAATCGTGCACCCCAAAAATATGTGCTGTAAATCCTAAACCCATATAGCTGTGAATGTAATCCCATTTGGGAATAGAGCTTTCTTTGTTACGTGGAAGAGACCATATCAGTGTCGGGTGTATCTTAAACCAGTTACCTTTGAGATATAAAAAGAGCAGGTTAGGCACAGAGGGAAAAAAAAACCAAACCTGTTGCCGTCAAACTGATTCCGACTCATGGTGACCAAAGCACAAATGGAAAAAGATTGATGCCACATGGAGATCACCAAGGAACCAAGGAAAAGAAGCTAAAATTGACACGGATTTTCTCCCAGAGCAGACAAAAAGAGCCTTCCCCTAGAGCTGGTGCCCTGCATTCAGACTTCTAGCCTCCTAAACTGTGTCAAAATAAATTTCTGTTTGTTAAAGCCACCCACTTGTGGTATTTCTGTTATAGCAGCGTTAAGAAACTAAAGACGGGGTTTCTAAATCTAGTTACTGTAGAGTCGACTCTGACTCATGGCCACCCCGTATGTGTCAGAATAGAACTGTGTTCATAAGGTTTTCAGTGGTTGATTTTTCAGAAGTAGATTGCCATGCCTTTCTTCCATGGCACCTCCGGGTAGACTCAAACTGCCAGCCTTTCAGTTAGCAGCCAAGCGCATTAACCATTTTTACCATCTAGGGACTCCTAGTCACCATTATTTTTTTTCCTCAAATGTTAATGACTTTTAATGAATCTCCTACTGAACTCAGTAACTACCATTTGTTGAGCACGTATAATGTGCTGAACGTTCAGCCTGAAATAACACATTTAAGCTTCTCAGTAGCTCCGTGAGGCAGTGCTACTATTATCCCCAGTTTACAGTTGAGGAATCTAAGTTTCAGAGAGGTAATGTAGTTTTCCTGAGGCCACACAGCTTAAAAGTAGCAGAATGGAAATTCAGACCTAGCCTGCCCTACTCTCAGTCCATTATAATGCACTCACCTGAGAGCCTTGCCTGAGCCTCTAAGTGCCCAGGAGTTTACAGGCTGGTGGGGAGGCAGCCAGCACATGAATCTTAGAGAGCAGAGGGCCAGGAGGGTATTAAGTGTTGGGTGTGCCCCATGTGGCCCCCATCCGAGTGGTGCTGCTGATGGTGCTTGATACAGCTATGCCGATCCATCCTGGGCTGGCCCCTGCTGCTGGCAAAGACGAGGGGAAATAGGAGGCCTGGAATTTCCCTGTTGGGGTTATTCCCAGCCATGTCAGCTCCAGGGGCTGCCGAAACAAAGGACCACAAGCCAGGTGGCTTAAAGCAACAGAAATTTGTTCTCTCACTGTTCTGGAGCCAGAAATGCTAGATCAGTTGTCCCTTCAGAGGCTCTGGGGAGGTTCCGGAAGGTCCTTGCCTCTTCCAGCTTCCTTGGCTTGGGGCCGCATCACTCCACCCTTTTCCTCATCTTTACGTGGCCTCCTCTTCTGGCTGTCTCTCTCTCCTCCGTTGTGTCTCATATAAGGACACTTGTCACTGGATTGAAGACCCATCCAGGTAATCCAGGATGATCTCCCCATCTCAAGATTCTTAATCATGTCTGCAACTAAGGCCATACTCATGGGTTCCACAGGTTTGATGTGGATGTATCTTTTTTGGGGGGGCCCATTCAATCCATGGGACCAGGTTGACAAGGGCAACTGGTAGAAGTTTCTTTTTCTCCTCTTAATGAACACGTCTCCACCCAAATCCCTCCCTCTCCAACATATTTAAGCCAAAGTGTATGTGTGAGAATGTGTGTGTGTATGTGTGTGTTTCAAAGCCTCTTCAGTCAGGAGTCAGAGTGACTCCTGGTGACCTGGACTCCCGCAGCAGGACAGCCGGTGGCCCTGAGCAAGGATCCTGGAAGTAGGCGGAGCCGCCGGGCCTGGAGCCAATGTGTTCTCCTCTCTGTTGTGGGCTCCTCAGCTGACAGATGGGACCGCATCTGCCCCATAAGTTGGTCTTGGAGATTCAGTCTTCAGTGCTTGACCCCTGGCTGCAAGTGGAATCCCATGGGGAACTTTGAAATCTACCGGTGGCTGAAAAAAATGCTGATGCCCAGCCTCCACCCACACCGCAGTCTGATGTGGTTGGTCTGGGGCCGGCCTTCAGTTTCAGTATTTTTTAAGTCTCTGTCAAATGAAAAACAAATCCAGGTTTTGATGGGGAGAGGCATTATTCAGAAAGAAAAGGAGGGAAGGGGCCTTATAATAGTGGGGAGGTGACTATTACAATAGGGAGAACACAACAACCATAAGCCCTGTAAGCATCTCAAGAATTGGCATTTTTTTAAAAAAAAAAAAAAAAGAAATGAGAGTAAATAAGACTAGAACCAGGTGTGAGGAAGTGAGATGAAAGGGTGACAACATCAGAGAGTAAATCAGAATGTTTTACGCAGCCTGGAAAGGGCCCTTAAAGAGCGGTATGTTGGCTCAAAGGAGTCCTGGTGGCACAGTAGTTCAGCACTCAGCTGCTAATTGAAAGGTCAGCGATTTGAACCCGCCAGCCACTCCCTGGGAGAAAAGACCTGGTAATCTGCTCCCATAAAGATTTTACAGCCTGGGAAGCCCTCTGGGGCAGTTCTACTCTGACACACGGGGTCACTATGAGTCAGAATTGACTCAACAGCACAAAATAACAACAACATGTTGGCTCAGGCCGAGGGGTGGGCTGGAGTTCAGGGACCTAGGGGAAGAGAAGCTTAACAAAGTAAGGTTGACACACACTTTGTTCTGATGGCTCAGTGGGGATAAGCAGTTCAGTTACTCATTTATGAGGCAGAGAATGGATTTTGGAGGGTCTGTAACTGGCCTTGTCCTAGGATGCAGGGAGCATCCTGAGTCCTGTGGGGAAGGGTGTTCTTTGCAGTCAGCCGTTTTCCTGAACACAAAAGGTGGGGGGATTTCTTTA